TGAATATTTACAAATTCTTCCAAGTTCAACAGAGAATTTAACATATCGAATTCCATCTAGTTAAATTGTCTAATGTAGGCATTCGGATACCTTCACCAAAATTTTCATTACGAATCTTTTTTCGAAGAAAACGTGCCGCCTCTCTACACTTTGTTAATTATGTTGAAACAGTTTTATATACATCATGTGCAGCTAGTTGGAGCGTATGTACAGCACATCTTACCACCGACAATACCGAATTCAATCTAGTGTGAATTTGTTCATATTCATCATCATCCGTGGTTTCACTTTCTTGAAGTAACTCTGAAGTTTTCACAACGTTCGCTCCATTATCGGTAGTAGAAGAATATATTTGTGCCGCGTTTATACCAAATTTATGGAAATTTTTTAAGATTTCTTCCTTTAGAAACAGTRCAGTGTGTCTTTTTTTCAATTCCACCATCCCAATAGTAAAMATTTTTATTTGAAAATTATCAATAACTTGAACGTTAATTCCCAATATACTTTTTTCCATTCGTGAAGCAATGTCCAACTTTATGCAAATCATTTTGTTTCGTAGTAAATCAGATAGTTTGATTTTCATTTGTTCGKCACACGTGCCAAGTCTTTCAATTATATTCYTTGAGTTTACTGTTATATTAAATTCGTGTTCATAAGGCTCTATAATTTTTTTAAAATACTGTTCATCATCAAAAAGCCTAAATGGTATGGCTTTAAYAGTAATCAGCCCCACACAGCACTTAAAAAAATTACTTTGATTMAATTTTATTTTTACTTTTCTCAATGTTTCCGATGACTCAATTTGTACAAAATTATGTTTGTGAACTAAAGTGTAATGTCTTTTTATGTTGTGCAAAACTTGACCTTTAAATTGTGTTTTTGCATAAAAGGCACATCGATTGATTTGTTTCACTGTCGTACGATACTTACTTTGTTTTGTCAATTTTTGAAAACCTGCCCATTTTTAACTTATAAAATTTTAACCTAACAAAACTGCAATGCGTCTTAATCCAAAATGACAATTGAAAAAACGCCGAGTATGGAAAAACCCATGACAAAAAAAAAACAATCATTGTATAGAGAAATTATCTTAGAGAACAGTATTTTTGCATCGTCTTCCTGATTAAAATTATTTACCTACTCACAATACAACTTAAATTAACGGTTAATCATGCATGTACCCAAAACTGTTAATATTTACACCAACAATAATTAAACTTTAACATAAATTTATAAATATACATACYCTCTAAGAGAATAAGAAATTGCTCAAGTGCACTCTCTGCTGCATTACTGACTTTATCAGCGATACAAAATACTGAGTGCTGAAACCTGAGATGAGAAAAAGAAACTTAGCGCTCTTGTGAGGAGTATTATTTTGAGGAGCACGTACGTTTGCGGTARATATTAGAGCGAAAAGATAAKATAAGTATTAAAGAGAAATATTCTAGAAGAGCACTCTTTCCTTTGAACTCACAATTGAGGAAATCAAAATTTATTGCTCCTCAATTGTGTTGTATTGAGGAGGAAGATAAAAATGTTACTCCTCAGTGATGAGTATTTGCGAACTCTGCATGGTTTCTATGAAAGAGACTTACGAAAAAATGATATTTATACTTGAACAAATTGAATACAGTAAACACGTTTGGAAAATTTGTGGTGATTTCAAAGGAGTTGTACTTTTACTTGGACTACAGCTTGGTTATACGAAATTTCGCTGGTTTATTTGTGAATGGGACAGTAGAGACAGAAAAAGTCGCTATACAAGAAAGTGTAGCCCAAGCGTGAATTACTAGCCATAATTAGCCATAAAAATGTTAAGAATGATCCTCTACTGAACCCTGATGACATATTTTTACCACCATTGCGCATAAATCTTGGTCTGATAAAAAAACATTTGTAAAAGCTACGCCTAAAGATGGAGATGGATTTTTATATCTAAAAGAGAAATTCCCCCAGCGAGGCGAAAAGCAAAAAGGGAGTATTTGTAGGCCCACAAATACGGCAATTGATGAAGGATAAGAGCTTTGAAGAAAAACTGAATGATCAGGAAACACTCGCCTGGAAATGTTTTATGAATGTTGTTCAAAATTTTCTAGGTAACCATAAAGCGGAAAATTACAAAGATTTAATAAATGAACTTATGATATCATTTAAAGCTTTGGGATATAATATGTCCTTGAAAATACATATGCTGGACTCTGTGCTGTGAGTGACGAACCAGGTGAGACATTTCCTTAATGGAGAAGCGTTATCAAGGGAAATGGAGTCCAGAAATGCTAGCAGACTATTGTTGGAGACTTAAAATGGACCTAGCGGAAGCCAAATATTCAAGAAAAACATAAGTATCTATTAGATATTAGGAAATAATTCTGTAAGTGTGGCTGATTTTTTTACTTTTTACGAAAATATATGTTTTGATGTCACAAGAAGACATGATGTGTACAATTTTTTTCATTAAAATATTATTATTTGGTGGCCCTAGTATATTCAAAATTTGATATAAATTTGTATGTCACAAAAAAAATACAAATTTGTTGACCAGTGAAATTTGCCGAAACCGAATAGATCATAGAAAATCATGGTTTCTTTGACTGGGGTAAAGGTACCTAGCTTTGGTTCGTCATTAATTTGTTCCACACGGTCAAACCTCAATCAGGAATATTACACTTTAAACGTCTACATTTATAATTCCTCTAAACGG